TTTTTCAAAATGAAATTTATTGCATTTTCGCTATTTGTGTTTGTAACACTGTTACAGTTGGGTCAGCTAAATGCCCGTGAAGTGCTCCGTAACGGCCAAGTAAATATTATTACCACTCGAAATATTGTTATTGATTTGAACATTTTCTGGGACATCAAGACGAAAAATAAAAAAACTTGTTTTTTTTTTTTTAATTTTCATTTAGTGGCCTCCACCAGAGCTTCTGAAGCATGTTGCACCAATTCGAACGAAATGCCAAGCTCAAATTGGTATCAGTGATGGTAAGAACTGTAGTTCATGTCACGATTTCTCTTGAAACACAAATATTTATAATAAATTCAAATGTGCATTTTTAGAGGCTATCAAAGAATATGATGTCGGCGATAGTCTAGAAGCCAAACAATCAGTTAAATGTTATATGGCGTGTTTATTCCGGGAATTGTAAGTAATGTATGTCTTTTGAAATAAGAAATATTAATTTTGAGTTTTTCTTTCAGCAATGCGATTGCTCCGAATGGCGATGTGAATATAAAAGCACTCGATCCGTTCTTTGCTGGACTGAATGACGAACTCAAAACGTCTGTTTATAAAGTAATTGCCGCTTGCCCGGAGAATATTCCTGGAGAAGACGATTGCGAAAGAATCTATCTTTATAGTAGTTGTTTGAAGAGAACGGGCCCAAAGGTACTTCTTTTTTTTGCTAAAAACAACCAAACGTATCAACTTTTGATGAAAACAAAACCGAGTTTCACTCATCAGCGCTACTGTTGTCCGAAAATTCAGAAAAGTTGATTGTTTAATTTTTTTTAACTATACTCAACAAAAATCAATGAGTAAAACTTTTACTATCACAACGAATCTTTGATTATCACTTGCATTCGACGCACACTAAGCTACCTGAATTGATGGCCAGCATCGGCGTTGATGTGATTCAAAGTTTAAAATGGTGTAAGCCTATTTTTGAGAATGTAAAATAAGTTATCATTATCTCTTACAGTTTTACTTTTTGCCTTGATTCGAGTTGCTCTCAATCTCTGAATGCAGTCATTTCTCCCTGGCTGTGACTTGAAATCGGAATAGGAGACATAAAACAAAGATGATGATGATTTTATTTCATGATTGCAACAAATCTAAAAAAAACTTTTTTTACTAATAACTTGCGGATAACTTTTAATAAATTGTATGATTGGCGCCAAATAATTTTTTTTATTTAAAAACGTGTTTAGATATATTTTATCTATATGATTTATTGTAGTGTGAGAAAAGTCATTCCGGAGCCGTTTGAAGGGGCACAAAGTGAAGCCAATCGCATTAATATTTATGTGACATCACTGTCTCACCTAGAAATATCTGATAATCGAGTTGAATAATACTGACTAAATGCAAATAAAAACAGCATTTTGTATACTTTGTTGTTGAATAGGTAAAAGAAACTCACGATTACACCGGTGTGCTCGAATACACCGATGTGCGGATTCTGGACCTTGTCCGTGCATAATTGTGTGTTACAAATGTGAGTTTTGATTGAAAGAGTTAAGCAAAAATGGTCGGCGACACATATTATTATTATAAAGAACTGACCACTATGCATTACCTTGAGTACCATCAATTATTCGCTGGTTGTCTTCAAGCAATTATACATTGAGCATACTATTGAGTGAGTGCACTTAACTAATCATAAAATTGGCTACAAGTTTTTTTTTCCTTTGGAAATGTGGCAGTGCAAAAGAAATCGCCTCAAATATCTTAATCATTTTCTTATTTGGCTTAATTCGACACACAATTTTTCCCATACAGTATGTGCATATAAACTCGACCAGCGATACGCTTTGTGTGTGTGTGTGTGTTTTCGAATTTTATATTTCGCTCATTTTCACCGAAAGTATTTGCATTTGGACTGGTTTTCAAATTCAAATACTGAAGTATTTTCGACTTGAAAAAATGTAGCAACCAATGATGTCTCGTACGAGAGAATTGAATTGTTCTCAATAATTCAAGCATGCAGCACGTTCTTCACTTTTGCTAACACAATATGAAAGTATAATCAAGAGGACAAGACCTCTAGAAATAATGAAATGTGAATTCATCGTTGTTTTTTTTTTTTAATTTTCTATTTTGAATGAAAAATGTTTGCGATTATTCAGAATGTCGTTTGGATGGAGTACAGCAAAATCTTGCATATAAGATAGGAATACTGAATTTTATCTATTCTGATTTCCGTGCAAGTCGCGACTTAAGTGATGGAGTCAGTTAAATATTTCACAGCAATGTAAAAGATATTTCTTTCCTTATTCGTAGCTCGTAACTCTATCTATGCGTGTTTTTTTTTTTTTTTTTTTAATAAAAAAATCAACACGGAAAACTATAAATTAATATGTCTTGTGATATGTGGCATGTGGAAACTGACATACTTGTTTATCACGTTAGCTACAAGAGACAGAGCGAGATATGTGTGTGCACTTCTTCTCCATGGATGAATGAAATTGTTGCAAAAAAAAAACCTATGACATGTATACATGGATGATGTTTTCAATCGATCATTTTGGCTACTCTATTATGTATGAAGGGTGCATATTGTATTGGCGTCACTTCTTTTAAACCCCATCAATTTTGTATAAGTTAATCCATTTTGTTTTACTTTGATTGCATCAAATGATGAAGATGAATAGGCAATGCGTCAAATTCAATAAAATTGAATTGGCAATTGATTTCAAGCGCCATTGAAATTGAGCACTCTCAATGCTCCCTCTCTTCGAGCACGTCCAATTCTTCCGTTGTGTGAATGAAAAAAATAAAGCTTAAATAAACGACGACCATATTTGATTTTGAAAAATGAAATTGCAGCATCCGGGTTGAATCAATGAACCTGAAATATGGATAAGTTTTCTAAGCACATCATGATCATAAGATGTTTCAAGTGAATTTTAGAAAACTTACCAATTTCCAAAACAACTTCCGCAAAATAATTCAAAATTCACTCAAATGCAAATATAAGTTTTATAGCATCGGCGAGTATAGATGCTTGATTATATTTCTATCGAGTTTGTTACATATGATAACCATGATGATGATGATGCTTGTGACATGCAAAGTATCAAACTTGATTTTGGATCGCATGGATTAAATAGATTGCCTCAATTTCTCATGCCATTCGCAGCATCCATTTGAAGTGCGTGCGAGTCTCGTATGAAGTGTGTTGCCATGAAATTTTTATGATTGAATATGAAACAAGTAAACCGTCAAAACTATTGAGATACATATAAATGAATACACGACTAAATAAATAACGTTGGAAATGCAATGAAGTAAAATTGAAGGTAAGGCCGAATAAGGATGAAAGAGGATGTACGAAAATGAGAAAATTTATTACGTTGATACTTTTTTTCTCTCTCTACCAACGAACGATACATGTAAAATGTCCAAATACATGTAATGTTGAATGTTTCATCAAAAATAAATAAAATCCAGAGTCCACATATTTCAAATATCAGAGTTGAAGGAAAGTGTCGTGCATTTTATGTGTAACTTTTTTATTTGAGATTTTGTCTTCTCGTTTTTTTTTTTTCTTTTTTAGTTGTTGCGACACATGTTAGACCGACGAGAAGACACGAATGCAGACAACATTTTGTGCATCAATGTTGGCGAAATGCCATAAAAACGCAACAAATAAAAGCAAAGGAATTACATTTTGATTGGATGTGATCTGCAGCAAAACGTGTTCGGCTATAAAAATTCGAGCAATGTCATTATCACCACCATTTTAATTTATCCAGGCAGGCTTGATTACATTCTATCAATCTTGATAGACATTGCCCTTTTTGTACATATGTCGTGTACCGCTAATTTTACATTGCTTTACATACATAAAAACGATGTCATAAAATCAACACCCACAATAAACGATAACAAAAGAAAACACATTGACTTAGCCCCCATCAAATAAAATAACATTATAGTTTCTTGTTGTTTGAACTCAATCGCTGATTACACTGGCTACTGAGTAACTACAGTAGAAACTACATTATCTGATTTTGAAGTACATCTGTAGGCATAATCAGTAATAAGAAATTCAATAGATTGAAACATAAACAATATGCTAATTATTGAAATTTGTTTGATTGAGTGCAAACAATAATTAACGTTCATTAGCAACAAATATAGATTGATAATGATGTGCTAATAGTGTTGATTTATAAAACATGCCTGTGTATATTTAACCGCATTATTTTTGTTCGATATGAAGTAAGGCCAAAAAATTGAGCTTTTCGTCTTTTCATTTCGTATTTTTCGTCATCGACGAATAACAACAACAAAAATTACATGAATAACAATGTAATTATCAGTCCCTTTACAATTACTCCACACACAATTTGAGACGTTGTTTGATTTGGTATGTCGGTTTTTTCCCCTCATATTCCAAGAAAAGAAAAACAAATACCATTATTCTCTGAAATTGTTCTGCTTCATCAAAATAATCATTGATTTGAACGAAGGAATCCATTGAGCTTGAGTATTTCATGCGTTCCGTGAACTTTTGGCCGAGAAACCAATTTCTGGCAATTTTTAATGGCAACTGGTATGGGCGTAGGCAGCCTCATGGTAATCTAACAAAATTACTGTTGGAACACTCACGTTTTTCGTGTATGTGGGTCATATTATGCACAGAGAGATTGAAAATCTGACTATGAATCAAGAGATCCAAGTTTGTATCACAGACTTTCATATTTAATAAGATTGAATTACGACACGATTTTTCTTTAAGATGGAAGCGCAAGAGAAATGTAGCATGTCAAGAAATGTATCGATATGCCCACGATGCACACACATACAACAGAAACTTCATATGTAAATCATTTTTTTTTCGGGCGCATCTGCCGAAAGCACGGTAGTAAAACATTTCAAATGAAAAGCAAATATCATTCAGCTTGTAACTTAATATATAAATACATGTTCGCCCATTTTTCCCAGTCAAATACAAAATAAAATTAGACGTTATAGTTTATTATTAAGAGTGTGTCCAATGCTTCGATGTTGACTATGATAGCACATGCAAAGCAGCTATACGAACAAATTGAAATTTTAATTGGAACTCATTAACATAGAAGTACATGTAAAAATAATTGCTGAGCTTGACTTAAATCCAGCAATTCATTAAAAATACACACACCGTGGTTTGATGTTAAATTCGTCAACATTCATGCATGCTCTTTATTAAAATCAAATAGATTTAGACGATGGCAGCATTGAAACTTTTGGAAAACTGATTATGTCATGAATGATTTCACCCTGATTTGTATTGTGTGCAAAATTGTTCTTTTCATTCATTCATTTTGTTTGTATCATAGGACAAGTATAGTTGTCAGACATTGAATGGCGCTGTATCTATCCTATAAACATCGAACTAATGAAAATGTGTGGTGGTTCATGTCTTATTTAATATACAATAGTGGAAATTTATCCAATGCACAAACCATTTCTTCTAGTTCCTCTTACATTAGTGTAGGGGGATTCTTCTAAAGTTCAGAGAATGGCGTTTGCATATAAATACATGTAAAAGACACTTTTAGGCTCGTCCTATGGTTTGTATAAAAGATGAGGTGTGCAAAACTTTGCTCACTATTTATTACGAATGGCACTTTTTCTTTAACTGAATTACGGAATAAGGTACGCATCTGTGTACACACGGATAATAATGCATCAAATAATTGTATTATTAATGTCCTTTGAATATGATCTGAAGAAAAATGTACATTTTATTAAATTTATATGAGATATCTCACATTCAGTGTAAGCTTCTTTTTGTTGCTCGTTTATATTAAATAGACGTGAAATTTTACTACTCTCTATTCATCCATGTGCTAGACATTCTCTTTGCATAAAATGCAGTCAACACCTGGAACTTATCAATCTAACAAAATCTACACATTTGATGATTTAATTTTTGTCGAAGGTGGCTGTTTGCCATTGCTTCTAAAGTTAAAATGGTATTCATTCATCATTCATTTTTATGTTTTTCTCGCGCAAAAAGATGATTTAAATAAATGAAAACTTGGTCAAATGCGAATTACCATAAGTGATGACGAGGGTTCCTAGGGGTCGGATGACCCCCCCAAAATATTTTTAGGAACCCTCAATAATTTTGGAAATGAGGACCTTTTTTTTCTATTGCTCTTCACTTTTTTTGTCCGAGAAAA